TGTGGACGGAGCTGCCGCTTGCAGCGCTTCCCAGCCGTTGCAACCTCTAACGAAGGCAGTTGAGACGCCTAGCCCGTCTTGTCCACCAGATGGCGCCAGAGAGGAACTTTCTCAGCCGGAGCTCCCAGTGATGGAGCCCGCTCAGCCTTCGTCCCTTCCTCCTGCTTCGACTCCGCTCCCGCCGGAAAGTCCTTCGGAGGAGCCGGCTGCTAAGAGGGCAAAGCCTTCCGTCCCTCCTCCAGAGACCCAAGAGCCGGAAATGACCCCGCAGATGAGACGGATCATCTCAGAGGCCATTGCTCAGGGCATTGCTGCAGGCATCCAACAACAACGCCCGTCACCCTCTGCAGTCTCTGACAACACTTTAAGCCAGGGGCAGGCTCCTCCTTCCATGAACATCCCACAATCCCTCTCGGTCATTGAAGGACCTACAGAATTGCCACTGGATGAAGGAGGGACTCCAGACGTCCATGGCTTCGTAGGTCTCTTCAACCCTGCCTTGTTTAAGACGCTGCTCCAGAAAGCGAAAGCCACTGCTCGGATAGAAGCAGATCCAGCCGCCTCAGATCCGGCCTTATCTGACCCTAATAATTTGTTATTTTCAGAGCCTTCCACAAATAAGGATGAGATCCCCTGCCCCAAATTTTTCCTGGATGTCGTCCAGCGACAATGGGCCGTACCAGGGGGTGGCCAGGTTCTAGGTGTGAATGACAAAGTGTTCTACAATGTGGCCCCGAACCTCTTGGAGGCATTAGAAATGCCAACAGTCGATGGGCCTGTGGTGGCCTTAGCCCCCCTCCCCGTTCTGTCCAGTAACACAGACGATGCTTTGAATCCAGAAGACAAGCGATCGGAAATAACACTCCGCAAAGTCTATCAGTCAGCTTCCTGGGCGGTTAAGTCAGCGGTGACTGCTTCCTTCTTCAATAGAACTTCCTTGATCTGGCTCAAACAAATGCAAGCCAGAATCCCAGCCACCGATCTCCAGACACATGAGGACATCAATAACCTGATAGCAGCGGCAGAATTCTCTGCAGATGCCACCCTGACTTCGGTCAAGTTTGCTTCCAGGGCCATCGCCTCATCCGTGACAGCCCGACGACTGCTGTGGCTCCGTCACTGGCAGTCAAACATGAAGTGCAAGTGGAAGTTGGCCTCTGCCCCCTTCAAAGGAGAAAAGCTATTCGGAGAGGCCTTAGAGCCTTTACTCAAGGAGACCAAAGACAAAAAGAAAGTCCTACCCGCTATATTCAAAAACACTGAACGAAAGTCCCATTTTCAGAAGCCTTCCTTCAGGGCAGCGGACACCACAGACAACTTGTCACAACCGCAGAGGGCATACTTCCAGCGACCTGATCGCCAATCCGATAGGGCCGGATATAGAGTCAGGAGCAAGCAGCAGTTCCAATCCAAACGACCATTTGGAGGCAATGGAAGTCAGTCCTTCCCTCACTCCTCCAGAAGTCTTCAGAGCCAAGCCTCCAGAGGGTCAGCAGCAACTGGGGATTTTAGTCCCAAAGGCTTTGATGAGATGGAGAGTGATTCTCCACGTAATATGACTAAACAAGCATTTTTTGTACAAGAGACTAAAAATCCAGTCCATACTGGACAGCATGCAGGTGGGCGACTTCCTGATGTCACTAGATCCCAAGCATTACCAGTACAGAGCCCTCACAAAGATACTAGTGACACTCTCAGTTCTCCTCAGGACTATCCCTATTCCCGTCCAACGGTATCTGGCCGACGTGTGGATCGAATCGTCCTGTCACCTCCACGCCAGAGAGGATCTACTCATCACGATCAGGGTCCTTCAGGGTCCTTCAGGGAATCAGGGATTCACAGTCAACAACAAGAGCCACTTGCCTCCTACCGACAGGATGCTCCACCTATCAGCATCTATAGAGACGACATGCATAGTTTGCCTGTTCCAGGACAACATCAGCGCTCTGGCGAACCAGATCGGATTGGACCGAATGGTGCCTCTCGACCTCGTCTCACAATTGTTAGGCAAGATGGTGTCGTGCGTCTCCATTGTTCCCGGGGCACGTCTGCATACCAGGATCTTACAATGGCTCCTCCTGCCTACTCAGAAATCCGGCAGGAGCAATTCAACTACCGAAGACTGGGTCCCATCAGAAGTCCTCCAGGGGTGGATGCCACTGACCACAATCAGCACATTCAAGGAAACGAACCGTCACATGATCGCTACGGACGCCGGTTTTCTCGGCTGGAGAGCCCAGATAGAGACCCAGATGGCAGAAGGCCTGTGGACAGAAGAGGAATGACGAAAGAACATCAACAGGAAAGAGATTCCAACAGGCCACGTAGCCCTCCAGTGGGTCCAGACCACCATCTCCAGCCATCACATACTGATCCTAGCAGACGACGTAACCACCAAGGCCCATATGAACCGCCAAGGGAGCACCTACTCCAGGTACCTCATATGAGAAGCCCGGCAATTGGAGCACTGGGCAAAGGGGCATCACTCGCCCTCTCCCCGTTTTGGGCCTAGCAGGGCTTCCTGCAGCCTCCTGCAATCAGAAAACGGACTGTGAGGGAGGGGAGCCGTACCCCCCATGCCCTATTTTAGGCCTAACAGGCTCCCCTGCACCCTCCCTCCTTGGGCCAAAAAGAGGTGGGGGGAGGAGCTGCACACCATGGCTCTGTTTTGGGCCCAACAGCCATCCCTGCAGCCTCTTTATGCTCAAAATGGGCTGCGGGAGGGAATTGCACACACTCCCATTCCCTGTTTTGGGCCTAGCAATTCTCCCTTAAACTTCCTGAGACCAAAAGGGGGGGGCAGAGGGGGAGTTGTCTTCCCTCTGGTTTGTTTTGGGCCAGCAAGCCCCCCTACTGTTACAGGTCTTATGTCTGCCTTGTGGAGTGATAACCCGGTCCCTTTCTTGCAGATGTACCCGGGGAGACGGCGCCAAAGAGCAGAGCCATCCTAAGAACCATGTGGATGGTTAGCCCATCTTTCGACCAGCATGGCGAGGATCACATGGACATTGGTGGAAATCTCAAGGGAACAGCTTTCTTCGTTTCCTTGCCAAGTTTTTTATAAGGGACCAATTTCCCCCCCCCCCCCTTTTCAAACTTTGTATCCCCATTTTATACGTCCAGGGGTAACATCTAGTGAGTTTTTAGTTGATGTATCCCAGCTCTCCTTTCCTTGATCTGTATTTTGGATTTGAAATGACCCTAGTGTCGTAAGTCGAGGACTGCCGAAAAGAAAACTATCCCTCTCTGAGCACATTTCTCTGGCCTCTTCCTTTCTTCCTCCCCACCCCACCCCCCAAAAAACCAACCCAGAAATTTATCTTCGAACTAAGTTAATTCTTGAGGTCCCCTTTGTTGCTTCCAACATTAAGCCGATCAGGGCAGGCGAAAGGCTAAATCAGCCCCTCTCCAAATCAGGATGGGGAGACCTGTGGAGAAATGATCCAGCATGCTTCACACAATGCTGCAATTGTCTTGTTTGTGTTAGCTATACACTTTTTTAATGGATTCAAAGACACACCCTAATCCTTCCCATCCCAACCCCAGGGGTTTTAGATGCCAGGGACCTTCCCACATGACTTCCACACTGATTTTACCTGAATCTTGTCTGTTATATCACATTTTGTATCCCAACAGCCAATAAAAGGACGGATTTAGAACCCCCAAAAAAGTCTCCTGAACAGCTCTGGAAAACAAAAGGGTAGTGGGATCGCTCTGCAGGGGCTGGATGAGATTACGGGGAGAGCTGCTTTGAGTTTTATCGGCCTCTGTCTTTCAGCCTGGCCTGCTTTGCAGGGCCGTTTTGCAGCAAAGTAGGAGTGTCCCAGCTCTGCTTTGGAATTCTGCTCTGAAAAGACCATGTAAATGATATAATAAAGGATCTTGTGGGTGGAGGAAGTAGCCAATTCTGTCTCGGAGGCAGGACGGGTGTCGTTTTGCAGATACCAGGGGTGAAACTGGCACAGGACCCCGATGGCTTACAGCCTTGAAGCTCCACCGGACAACTCGATCCAGGCACCTGGCAGGTGCAGCAGGCTCTAAATGGATCCAGGATCCTTTGATCCTTTGCAAATCGTCCCGAAAACCTACAAGGGGTCCCACCGTCGGATGAGGTCTTGCAAGCTGCAGAAAGAAGACCGCGCCTTTTCCCCATCTCTATCACTGGCTACTAATCCCCGTCCTCCCTGTCTGTGCATGATGGGCGGTGTAGTCCACCGCTTCCTTTTCAGACCCAATGGAAGACACAGCTTAGAAATGCCACTGAAATGGAGGGAGGGAGGAAGAAGAAAAGGGAGGAAAGAAGGAAAAGGGAAGGAATGAAAAAAATATAAATCTTTTATTGCAATCTCAGGCCGGTAATATGCGTGGGCGTGTCCACAAACCTTCCTGTGCGCGGCTAAGAGGAAGCCCCGCCTCCTTCCGTGATTCTGACTAATTTCCCTCTTTCTACGCTGCTGCTGCTGCGCTTCGATTCGTGGGTCTTTGCTTCCTTTTCCCCCCTCCCCTCCGAAATGCTCGTGTCCTCTCTGCGCGCGGCGGAGCCGTGACCGATTCCTATTGGTGCGATGGAGGCGGAAGCGCTGCGGGTGGAACGTTGGAACTCGGGCGAGACCATCCGACCGGTCGGGCGGGGGTGGCCGCGGGGAAAGTTGATGTCTCCCCCCCCCCCATGGCGCTGGTGCTGCTTTTCAGCGGAAAGTGGAAATTGAGCAAAAGTTTGGTGGCCGAAGAAATCCAAAGCCAGTAAAATATATATATATATATTTAAAAATTAAGGGTGCTTGTGCAAAAAAAGAAAATATGGGCGGGCCATTTGCATGATGGACAGGACAGGTGGGCTGCCTACCAAGCCCCCCCCTCCTACCCTTCACTTGCCTCTGCAAGGCTGGCACTGATTGGTCAGCTTCCTTCCATTTCTCCTTCCTTCCATCCTTTTTTGTTTTTCATTCATTCCTTTGCTTTCTTTTATTTTGCTCCTGCCGCCCTCTCTTTTCTCTTCCATCCTTCCTGTTCTTTTTCATTCCTTCCTTTTCCTTTCATTTTTTTTCTCCTTCCTCCCTCCCTCCTTCCCTTTTCTTTTCCTTCCTTCCTCCTGAATTGGCTACTTCCTCCACCCACAAGATCCTTTATTACGCCACTTACATGGTCTTCTTTTCACAGCAGAATTCCAAAGAAGCGAAGCGCAGCTTTGGACACTCCGCACAACGGCCCTGCAAAGCAGGCCAGGCTCAGAGACAGAGGCCGAAAAACTCAAAGAAGCTCTCCCCGTAATCTCATCCGGTCCCTGCAGAGCGATCCCCACTACCCTTTCGTTTTCCAGAGAAGGTCAAGAGACTTTTTGGGGTTCTAAATCCGTCCTTTTATTGGCTGTTGGAAACAAAATGCAATATAACAGAGGAGATTCGGGGAAAATTAGTGAGAGCGGAGGTCCTGGGGAGAAAAAGTGGGCAGCTCCCTGAGATATAAGCCCCCTTGGTTGGGGTGGTAAGGATTGTGGGGAGGGGGTATCTTTGAACCCATTAAAATGAAACCTACAGGAACTTTATTGCGTAGCTAACCCACAAAGAAGACAATTGTGGCACTTTATAAAGCAAGCTGAATCATTTCTCCGCAGGTCGCTTGTGCCAGAAGGTCGCAAAAGGAGCAATTCTGCTGCAGGAATCGACAGCCAACGTCCTGTCTTGATTTCTGCAGCAAAATTTCTAATTCTTCTTTCTGCCCCTAAGAAGCGAGCAGTAAAAAAAGAGATGTTGCTCAAGACGTTACAATCCAAAAGGCTTTATTTTTTTTACAGTGAATAATATTATTTTTACAGTCAAAAAAATTCTTATTTTTACAGTCAAAAAAATTCTTATTTTTACAGTCAAAAAAAATTCTTATTTTACAGTCAAAAAAATTCTTATTTTTACAGTCAAAAAAATTCTTATTTTTACAGTCAAAAAAAATTCTTATTTTACAGTCAAAAAAATTCTTATTTTAGCAGTAAAAAAATTCCTGTTTTTGAAGTTTAAAAAAAATCTTATTTTTGCGGTCAGAAAAGTTTTATTTTTGCAAGCATGAAGATCTTATTTTTGCAGGGAAAAAGATTTTTGCAGTAAATAATGGTTACTTTTGAAAACATTGTAATCTAAAAGTTCTTAATTTTCGCACTCACAAAGATCGTATTTTTGCAATCCAAAAGGTCTTATCTTTGTGGTCGAAAAGACCTTATAGTTCTAATCAAAAGCATCTTTATTTTTAGCAGGTTTGGTTTATAAACCGCCCCGGGCACTACGCAGAGACAAAAGATCGTCATATTCCAGAACCAAAACTATGGAAAAAGATACAAGATA